TCTCTCTCTCTCTCTCTCTCTCTCTTTCTCTCTCTCTCTCCCACGGCCAGGCAAAGCGGCCCGGGGCACTTACATGCTCCCCTCACTTTGGCTGGCCACAACTCCTCTCGCCTGCCTCTCCTTTTGCTGCCCGGTCACTGACACCCCGGGATTGCGTTGCCATGCCGAAAAAAAAAACAAAAACAAAAACAACCCACCCTCCTCCCCAGCCCGGCTTCCGTGTGAGCGCCACCGGTGTCGTGCTGGAGCTGGACAAGGCGTTCACCATCATCAAGAAGCTCAAGCTGACTGGTGAGCCCTACGAGATTTTCAAGGTGCGCGCTTTGTCTGCATGCTCCGCCTCCCTCACAGCGCACCATGCGCCCCCTCGTCGTGCCGAAAGGCATGCTGACATGGCAAACATGCGCGCACGCGCCCCTCTCCCCTCATGCCCGCACGAACGCCATCCAGAACACCGCCTTCATTCGTGGCATGTTCAACTCTTCGCTGGAGGTGGCTCGCTTTGAGGGTGCCAAGATCCGCACCGTCTCCGGCATCCGAGGCCACATCAAGAAGGCCCTTCTGAAGCCGGAAGGCTGCTTCCGAGCGACCTTCGAGGACCGCGTTCTGCGCAGTGGTACGTCGCCTGCCGGCCTTGGGTCTGCTCTCCTTCCGTCTCTTTCTGTCCCTCCCTCGGCTGCCTCTCCAGTTCCCCCTCGCCCGCTAATCCCACGGCTCCCTTCGTCAGACATTGTCTTCCTTCGCGCCTGGGTGCCGGTCGAGGCCAAGAACGCCTACTTCCCCATCACCAACCTCCTCCAGAAGGACAAGGCCAAGTGGGAGGGTATGCGTACGGTGTCCATGCTCCGGCGCGAGCGCAATCTCCAGGCCCCGAAGCTGGCCCAGTCGAAGTACGAGAAGGTCGAGCGCCAGAAGCGTGTCTTCGCTCCCCTGCGTGTGCCGGCGTCGCTGCAGGCGTCGCTGCCCTTCTCGGCCAAGGTATGCTCCATCTTTCGTGTTTCTCTTCCCATGCTCGCTCTTGGACCCCCCCCCCCCGTTTTTGCCCCTTCCCCACACCGCTCTGGCAATCAGGGCGACGAGAGCAGCACGCGTGTTGTCATGTGCCTTCGCGCTGGTCTGCCTTTTTTTTTCCCCCTTCGCACCCTATCCTCGCAGTGGTCTCTAACTCGCGCCCTCTCCCTCTCTCCCTCCCAGCCCAAGGACATGGCCCGGCAGACGTCCGCCTCGGCAGAGACCCGTCGGGCGGTCATCATGACGGCCGATGAGCGCAAGGCCCACCATTTGATCCAGCAGATTGCCACCCTGAAGAACGAGAAGCTGGCCATCCGCCAGGAGCAGCGCGAGCGTCGTAACGCCGAGCGCCGCAAGAAGATGGATAAGGAGGAGGCCGAGCGCCTGTCCAAGCAAAAGAACACCCGGAAGCGCTTCTTCTCGAAAGAGCAGATGAAGAGTGGTGACTCGAAGGCCAAGCGCCGGAAGTCCGGCGGCGGCGACGACTAAGACGCAGCCGCCCGCCCAGCAGCGCCAGTGGTGAGCCCAGATCTGTCCATTCCTCCCGCCCTCCTTGAACGTCGCGTGCTTCGGCCTCCCGTTCCCTTGCTGCCGTATCTTGCACGGTCCCCCCCCCCCTCCGGACACACACATCCTCTCTGCTGTGCAACACATAGATCCCTATTAGAGTGTGTGCGCCTCTTTCTCTCTCTCTCTCTCTCTCTCTCCTCTCTCTCGGCGGCCCGGCTGTCTTCTCCACCTGCACGGCTTTGAGGCCCTCTCATGTATTCCAGCCACTCCGGACTGCCCCCCCCCCCGCCCCCCAGACATTGTTGCACATTGAAAATATACCCACCAATATGATCTACATTCTGGGATCGGAGTACGCTTCTGGTTTATTGCGCAGGGCGTCGGCGGCCATGGGAACTCCCACCGAATGAGCCGCGCATCTCAAGGGCCGATTATCGGTGCCGGCCTTCGTGGCCGGCACTCAGAGAGAGGGAGAAGGACCCCGAGCCGGCCGGCCGGGGGGCGTGGGACTGGCATGTGCTCCGTGAAAGAGGAACACACGCGCGCGCTTGGTACCCCGGCTCCCGTCGGGGCCTGCCCCCCTCCTCACCATCGTCAGCAGCATGGCCCGGAGAGGGGCAGGGGTCATGCAAAAGGGGAACTCTAGAAGGAGGGCTTCGGCATGTCCACAGAAACCGATCATCCTCCTTCCCCCCCCCCCCCTGCCGCTCGCCTCATCTCTTTCTGCCCTTTCCCCTGCCACATGCTCCGCAACCCACTCCCCCCCGCCCCCCCCCCCCCCCCCCCCCCCCCGCCCCCCCCTCCCCCACACCCCCCCACCCATCCCACCCGCCCCCCCCCCCCCCCCCCCTCCACAGCGCGCCCTGCCCCTCTATCACATATCCCCACTGTTCAGCTTTCCGCCGCGTTCTCCCCGCTCCGGATATCGCATCCCCCTCTCCTCGCTCTTCCTGAAGAATCCGCAACCATGTTCACCCCGATGAACCAGATCCGCCTGACCAATGTGTCCATTGTCCGCCTGCGTAAGGGTGGCATCCGCTTTGAGATCGCCTGCTACAAGAACAAGGTGATGGAGTGGCGTAACCGTGTGTGCGTGTCAGCCTGTCCTGTCCATG